AAAAGTGTATAGTTTTTGAATTTTTACCTAAAGTTGATTTTTGTGCCTTGCAAGATTTTTTCTAATTTTGACTTCACCATCATTCCTTTGTAGGTACTTCCAATCAAATATTTCAGAAAATTGTTGTATTTGATTGCCCTACTTTTTTTTCAATTGTAACAATACAAATAAGGGACATGTGCAGTGTTACGAATCTGATTTTTCTCATAACCCGCAAGAAATTAAAAAAAAAAAACGTTTTTACCCGTTATCCTTAAAGGAGTACGTCAAAATTTTACCCTCAACATTTCTGGGCAGTCTTCAAGAACGGTATTCAATTATTTAAAAAACAAGACGCAATTTACAGCTTTTATTTTTTTGTTTTCTCTATTGTAGTTAAATGAAATGTCAAATTTTCAAAGAAAACAACTAAAAATTAACCTTTATTTTTAAATCCATATTTAAATTATTATTGAAAATTTATATCATTGAAGGGCAAGTTGACTTATAAAAATAGAATTTGATTAAACTAACAACCCAGTAATAATGTTTATTTGGTACTTATTTTCTATTCTAAATCAGCAGAAAATAATTAAAACCCAATACATGACAAAATAACCCACTTTCTTGATAACTAAATAGATTTAAAGAGGTCCTTTCGCCACCAATGTTAAATAAAAAATATTAGATTATGACTAAAATTATTTTTTTTCTAATAGTAGATGTCCTTATTTATCTAATAGTGAACTTTTAACTATACCTTACCGTGCAAATTTTTGAGATGTTTTTTTTAAATTGTGTGTGTTTGTAGTGTCTTATGAGAAAGTAAGACTTCAACAACAATTTTCGAATTATAATTAATTTTATTATTATTTATTGATTAGATGGAGTAGAAAAAAAACTAAAAATAAGGTTTTTGAAATATTTAGGTTTTGTTTTTTACAATAAAATATATAGGTTACCGTGGAATTTATTGAGAAATTATTATTAAAAAATCACAAAAAATTTTCAACTAGGTTACTTGAAAATTTTTTGTGATTTTTTAATATTAATTTCTCAATAAGTTCCACGGTTTACTATATATATTTTATTGTATAAAACAAAATCTAAATATTTCAAAAACCTTATTTTTAGTTTTTTTTCTACTCCATCTAATCAATAAATAATAGTATAATTCGAGAATTGTTGTTGAGGACTTACTTTCTCGTGAGGCACTGTACAAATACATTTAAAAAAAAAAAATTCTCAAAAATTTGGAAGGTAAGGTATAGTTAAAAGTTCAGTATTAGATAAATAAGGACTTCAACTATTGGAAAAAAATTAATTTTAGTCATAATCTAATAACTTTTTTTTAACATTTGAGGCGAGAGGTGTGGCGAAAGGACCTCCTTATTAACAAACAATATGAATACACTACAACAAGTCTTTGAGAATAAATTATTATGATGTTCTATTTGTCGATAAAATGAATGAAGTTATGCATATGCAACTAACAATACAACAAAGTAATATTGGCCGCATTAGTGTCAATAATTTTTCACCAAACCACAATTTTAAAAATAATCTGATCAAATTTAGTTAACATGTTACAAATTGCGGTTTTATGTAACTCGTTCATATTACAGGGTCTCACGCTGCTCGTCGCGAAAATATTCACTCGTTACATAAAATAAGGCAGTTAGTAACTGGCTACATAAATAGCTATTACATAGAGCTATTAGTAGGAGGAAGATCGTTTAAGTATCTCGCTTTTAATTAGCGATAATTTCTGTTTGGAACATTGCTGTTCAATAGATACTTTAGTTAGTCCATTTATATTCCACATAAATTGTCATACTCATAACTTTCTCTCACTTGCGCTAACTTAAGAATAGTAAAAAATTTACTGTTAACATACATCTAAAAATGCAAACAACAATATTCTATCTTTATTCTGCAAAGAAATCGCGCTAAACAACAGTCTATGTTCCTCAACCAATCATAATGAAATACGCCTACCACGGGGGTCGGATTCAATGTAAATAGTTGGTAACAAGTTTGCTTGACCTCGACAGTAGCGCGCTAAGCGCTTACGGTTGAACTATACCTGTCAGTTTCTGTCGATAAAGTAGAACACTACTAATTAAAGCGATTTAAAAATTGGCGGGCTTGATAATTTAGATATTTGAAGCAATTTGAAGTAACATTTTCCTATTTGACAACTTTTACTTACAACTACTAAACAAACAATAAGTTTAGTGAATTTTTGTTGTAGGTAAATGTTGAAAAATGGAAAATGTCACTTGTTTTAACTGAAAAATAAAACACATTTTTAACAAGTTTAATTTATTTAGAATTACCATGTAATTACATAGAATTACCATGTAATTACATGTGTCTCATTATCTTCTAACTGCATATTTTGAACATAACAAGCACTATATCACACACTAAATTACTGAAAAATAAAAATATAATATGATAACCAGCATAGCACATGACAATGTTTTTATTATTAAAAAACGGGATATAGTTTTTATAAAAAGTCAAAGTAGTTAATTTTTAAAAACAATTGTTTTAATGTTTTAAATATCCCTTATTAATCCAAGGATAAATAATTCTAATATTCTTATACTTATTGTCCCTGTAAGGCTTTTTCCCATCTATTTCAATCTAGAATAGTTGTAATATCTATTTCGGGTACAATAAGCTTCGATACAGGTGGGCTTTGAAACTCGCCCTAATTAAGAGACACATTTATGCACATTCCAAAAATCTCCATACCCAGGAATATCTAAAACAGAACAAAAATAAAGGTGCAGTGTGTATCTTAAAATTAAAAAAAAAAACTAGGATGAGGTTCTATCTCCGGTTCTACAATATTTGTTTGTAAATTGGCTTCACACATTTCGCTCACAACTCCTTTCATTTTTTTGACCACAAATGTTAAAATGTGGATCCATTTATCTCTAAGACTAAGAGTAATAATAGCAGGAAAAATATAAAATTTCTTGTTAGTTTTGTGAGAAAAATACTTACTTCTGCAATTAAAATTTAAATGAATCAGAAGTTAATGATTTTCTTAAGAACCTCCCTATAGTTAAATCTAACTTCCACTTAATTAATACAATTTACTCACCTACATTTGATAAAAGTATCCTGCATTTGAAAATGAAAATAATATCAGGCTGACATATTTATTTATAGCACAACATAACCTAATTTATTTTCAAAGCCAGATTTACACCATCTAATAATATTTATATTTAGCTTTAACTTTAAATGTATTAACGATTATCCCTGTATTTGATCACACATTATATTAAAGTGAAATTTAAAGAGGTAAATCAGTAAAATTATTGATTTCTTTGTCATTATTTTTAAAAACCTATTTTTTTATGGGTGTAAAACGGGTTTGAATTTAGTGATAGCAGCGCGCTAAGCGCTTACGGTTCAACTACCAACAAGGAAACAATTCCCGCCATTTATTCAAACCTTCTCTTTTTATTTTTCTATGACGGCTACCATCGTAACTATTCACACTTGACTCGACGGAATGTACAACGACAACGATTTCACCTTTCGATGCAACAACATTGTAAAATTTGTCTTGTCGTGAGATAGACGCTAAAAACATATATTTTGAAAAGATGTATTAAAACTTACTGCCTGCTAATATTCGTAAAATGTAAACTTAAGTGCTCGCATGTTTCACTATGTAAAATTGTTACACACTGAAAAAGATTTATTGTGTAAATAAAGTTGTTAGATGAAAAATACATTTAAGTTCACTATCAAGCAAGAATCTGCCAGTTTTTCTACAACATTATACTGGTTTACTTGTTACATTTTTATTGTTCATTTCACCAGCTGATAGGAAGGCAACCCTTCTTTCTGTGCTGGCTAATGAGAAGGTAGTAATTCAAAGTCGCTGCGAACATGGTTGTTCAAAGCAGAAATTAGAAAATGTGTTCTTTCCAGAAAACAATTGTAGCAAAAGTATTGATATGCCAACTCTTAATTGTTGATGAATATTTCTGCTTTCCTATACTTTTTCAATTTCAACATAGTCAGAGCTTGAAATTGTGATGTGTTTAATGGCACGAACTTCAAATTAGTCAGTCTTAATATATGTCGAAGTTTATCAAGATACAGAATTTTAATGAACGTTCTTCCAACTGGCTGGTAGTGATTAGTATTTGTCATACATAGGAGACTGGTAAAAAGACTCTTAAGATTACTAGAGAAGTACGTTCCTTCGTTAGAGAGAATAATTACTATACATCCACTGAATTCACTGTTAAATGCTCGAAAAAAAAAAAATTGTTTTTCATAGTAGTTACTAACAAATGATCACATTTAAAAAAAGCGAACTTAAAACACAGACACAGGCTAATAGTTCATAAAAGGACCATGGCTACAATACAATAAGGATCTACTCGTATTAAATTTAAAGTACCTAGGAGAAATACAGAGGAACCTACTCAATCAATTAAAAAAATATATTTGTAATAACGAAAATAGAATTTAAAAGACATCTTATTGAGCATCGAACATAGGTATTTCTACCTGTTTGTTTCTACTCAACTAGGTGGCTTTTTATGTACATTTTTTTGTTAGATACGGGTTGAATTTACTTAAAACAAATCCCTTGATCAGGTATATATTCTAGAAATAAGAATAAGAGACAAATAAATTAAACAAAAAATAAGTTGATACCTACCTATTAAATAAAACAGATAAAACCCAGATAACAAGCGTCATTTCAATTCTATTGGAAGAGGATTTATCGGCGGTCCAACGGATATCAAAATTTTTACACATTTCGCCTTCATGAGATACAGCCATTATATCCACTCTTGTTGTACACACTACTATTTTATGTCAAGATTTGGTCGTAGACCTATTAGTTCTTTTTAATTACGCTACTCTCTTTTTAAAACATACTTTAATTCCATTTTCTAGTCTATTATATAAAAAACATATTTATTTACTGTATTTATTTATTTATTTTTATTTTTTATTATTTTTTTTTTTTTTAGAAAAATGATAGTATGGTATTAAATTTAGTAATACCTGCTCATCCATCTCCAACTAATAACTATTCCACATCTTTTTCTTATGATAATATAGTGGGTAAGAAAATGTTTTTTTTTTTTGTAGGTAATTCCAGCACATAACATGAAAATGGTCTGACAAAACACGGGTCCCGAAAATTCGGATTCATTCTCTCTATCTTGATTCAATAAAAACAAATAATACCTACCCCAGAAGCCAATATCAATACATTTTCATATGTATCAAAAATTCAGTGATACTTAATATATACAGGGTATGAATTTAAAAACTTCCCATTAGCAATATCTCATAAAAAAAAAATATCAAAAATTGCTTCAAACAGGAGAACACATTTTCTCAAATGTCATAAGTCACTCCCTTCCCCTCCGTACCGCTAACCAATACAATTTAAATTTTGATTTTAACCCCCTCTAGCTGGATAAAAACTGTTAAATATTGTAAAGTATGACAGTTCATTTGTAAGCAAAATTTATTAGTAATTTAATTCAGAACATAACAAAACATAATTTAATGGAACATAACAAGTAAGCACAAGAATTTCAACGCTTTTTATTTTTCTATATGTATCAATTTTTTAGAACCGAGTAATATTTACATTTACAGTTTTAGCAAAAAAAGCTTTTTGGATCAAAAAGCAAAAAAAAACTGGTTTGGGAACTTTGGCGCCTTCTACTTTTTCATTTATCTCTACTTTTCTATTATGACTCGCCGTTTTTACAAAAAATCGGTTTCAAAAAAATACTAAGGGGGTAAATTTGCTTTTAAGCTTATTTTTCGGTCAACTATTCATGAATTATAATGGCGTGATATTTTTTTTCTAAAAACATCGTTTTCCTTTCTTATTTTTTGTGTACTAATTGTAAAAAATTGTATAAAATACTTGCATATCCCCTACAAACCTAGAACGACTTTATGAGGGATTTAATTAGTTTAATCGATACATAAAACCGGGGTGGTTTATCAAACACTGCATTAGCGTCTCCAATATTCCCGTCTTATCTGTTACATGTTTAGCGAATGGCAATTTGAAGGAGAGGCACAAACATCCAACGTACAGTCCAAACAGTAATGAGGAGTACCCAATGTATATTAATGGAGGTCATATCAACCGTGGGTATTCGTCTTGTGATCTTACAGAGGGCGTATTGTCAATCCCAGCTACACCTGCTCTTGGTGTTCACAAACCTGATAATCCAACACCACCCGAAGAGAAAAAAAGGGCATTTTCGTAAGTATAACATAACATAATGAAATAAATTTAATCTACTTCGGACCACTTTGAGATATGGATAATATTTGGAATTTAAATTTATAATATTTTAAAACCTATGTCATGTACTAGTAAATTATATAACAAGAGTAGTAAGAAGCTAGTAAAAAATTTGGGCTCAGGCCGCGTAAGCAGCGAGTGCATTATTTCTACGAGCATGTAATTACTCTTATAACTCGAGTAGTGACTTTACTTTATCTACAACTACAATCATGGGCATTCATATTAAAGATAAGCTTTTCATAATATATAACATTTAATAAATATATCTAATCAACAAATAATTATTTCCCTGCATAATCATTAGATAATAGTAAAATTGTGGCAATTTTAATATTTATTGGTTCGTTCTTAGTATCTCTAAGTATTCCAGAAAAAGTAGATGGTTCTGGAAGGTGTGATGTAAATGATGTAAAGCTGTCACTTTCATTTAATTGGTATTAACAAAAAATAATACACAAAATCATATACTAAATGAAAATTTTTAATATAAAAGTGAAACCCCAACAGGTTTCGGCTAAAACACCATCATCAGGCCTACAAACAAAAAATGGTCTTCAATAAAAGCTTATAAAAGTAAAGTATAAAAGCCTACTTTATAAATATGTATGTAATAAAAAAGAAAATTCGAACATTAAACTAAAACATCTTGACTTCGAGGGTAGAAATAGGACTCCTCAGCAAGAAATAGATAGGTTCTCAATATAAGGACGAAACCGGTCCAAGAATGTTTTTCTCCTTGGTGAGCAAAATCAAAGTAGAGAGTGTTGAAAATTAATTTCTATCTCTGATGTCTTTCCTTCGGATGTAATTCAATGCCTGTTGCGGTATTAGCCAAAGGAGTAGTTGTTTTTTGAAGGGGAGACGGTCGTTGTATTTGGTGTGATATTGGCTTTGAGCTAAATTCATTTTATTTCATTTACGTCTTTCCACATTTGAGTTTTGATTTATTTTCGTTTACAAATTGCCCGCCTGGTGCTTTTTGGTTCACCTAGTTTTCTAACTGGGTACCACAGCGCATTTTGATTTTGCTTATTAAGAACAGATGGCGACACCATTTCACTACTTGAATTTTTATTCTCTTCATAACCAACTTTATGGTATACTGGTGAAATGTGTAGCATTTGTTAATTCCATTAGAGACTGAAATTGAGAACCTATCTATTTCTTGCTGAGGAGTCCTAATAAGGACGAAACCGGTCCAAGAATGATGTTCTCCTTGGTAAGCAAAATCAAAGTAGAGAGTGTTGAAAATTAATTTTTATCTCTGCTGTCATTCCTTCGGATGTAATTCAATGCGTTACGGTATTAGCCAAAGGAGTAGTTGTTTTTTGAAGGGGAGACAGTCGTTGTATTTTGTGTGATATTGGGTTTGAACTAAATTCATTTTATTTCATTTACGTCTATCCACATTTGAGTTTTGATTTATTTTCGTCTAATTATATAATTGACTAGATGATAAAAACGTTTGAATCTTTGTAAAAGCTATTGCCTTTGTCGCCAGGTATTTCTTATCAGAAGCTTTATTTATGAAATTATTAAGTTGTTCTGGCGTAAATGTTTTTGCCTTTTTAGCTATATGTTTTTCTGATTGACGTTTAAGAAACGCACGTAATTTTGAATATTTCTCTATATTAATTCCATTATGTTGAGTGTGCTTCTTAGCAAGGAGTAGAAAGTTCATAGAGACGATGCTTTATATTTATTGCTAAGTTCATTAATATATGCCAATGGTACATTTTCTGTAAACGAGTTACACCAATCTTGAAAATTTTAGTATACACCTTTATACTTGTTATTTGATTTTTCTGGTAATAAATTCTGTATTGCATTATTAGCTATGTCTCTCTTATTTCTGGAGGTGTACATAACTCATCTTCACTATCTAAATTCTTTTTTTTTTTAGCATTATTATTAGAAATTGATTTGAAAACGTCAAAATTATCTTGTTAAAATATCAAATGACAGGACTTCCCTCAATGTAATAATTGACTGTTCCGCCTACTGAGAGGCGTTGACAATTTAATAATTTTCAAATCTTTTAATTATTATTCATTTCTTTCCAGTTGTTAAAAAATCTTTCTACCCTTTTACGCCAATGGAACATTTATCAACTTTAAAATTTCCATGAATTTACTGCGCACACTATTTATGTGCCGAATTATCGTAGGAGCCCAGCGTGAGTTATAATAACTCACTATTAAAACTCGCGCTATTTGTTTATTGATTCTATTAATTGCTCAAAAGCAGTTGAATAATTAATACATAAATTAATAGGAGTAGATAAACGTTATTTTAATATTAGTTAATTAATTATATTTTAATATTTTTTAACGTTGTTACGTAACGGAAAGTTATAAAATTTTGTTAAATATACATATAATATTAACGTTAATTTAAAATAAATATAATTAATATAGAATGGGCCGTACAATAGGCAGTTAAAATGAAATCTTAGCTTACACTGTGAATCTCGTTGTATAATCATCGATTATTGTTAAACATAATTTTAAAAATAACATTTGTACTTTAAAAATAACCTGTTAAAAATTAAACTCCTGTTATTCTTTTAACGTTGTTTTGCATTTGTAGTTCTACAGAAAGGTTAACTTTTATTAAATATATGTGTAATATTATCGTTAGTTTAATTTACATAAAAGTAGTAATAAAAATGTTATTGTATCGTTATATTTTAAACTAAAAATTAACAGTGTTTTAATGTTTATTATTTATCTATGTTTTTTTTCGTGTGTCATCGGCTTTAACTGCCTCGTGTTCTGTGTAGGCTTTATTAGCGCCACTTTAGGGACAGCACTGTTAATTAGAACCCAACAGTGAATGGCCGAGTGGGGAATCCTACCAAGGCATCAGAATTAATTTTAAATAATTAAATTAAATGAAAAAATTCCGGCCAACGGTGGGATTCGAACCTGGGACCCTTGGAGCCATAGGCAGAGGCTCTACCACTGAGCCACCCACCCCATTTTTTATTTATCTATGTTAAAATTATTTTTAAACGTTGTTATATAACTAAAAGTTGATAATTTTGTTAAATATACATATAATGTCAAAGTTAGTTTACATTAAATGCAAGTCTTAGAAAACGTTATTGAATTCTAACCTTTTAACATTTAGTTAATAACGGAAACTAAATATCCCGTTATTTTAATATAAATTACTTAAGTTCAATATTATTTACTTAAGTTCGAACCTTTTAACATTTGGTTGATAACGAAAACTAAATATCTACGTTGTTACTTAAGTATATTTTAATATTGTTTTTAAACGTTGTTATGTAATTAAAAGCCGATAATTTTGTTAAATATACGTATAATATTAACGTTAATTTAAAGTAAATATAAATCGTATATAAAACGTTATTGTAATTTAACCTTTTAACGTTCTAAGAGAGGGCGCACCGAAAAACAGACTGTTTCAACTCTCGTAAATGCTACGAATGATATAATGAAACTTTATGAATGGTAGTTTAGTTATAGTCAAGACAAAAGAAACAGATTCCTATTTATATAATATTTGCTTCAGTCTATACTGGTTGAATATTATATTGAACTTCTTTATTATAAATTACTGTGATTTTAGATGAAAGTTTAAATAAAGAGTTGTTTTACAACGTTTAACTATTGCATAATATTAAAAAACGTTTAATTGTTGTTTAAAAATATACATGTAGTTAATACGTAATAAAAGATTATTTGATTGGCATATAAACATTTATTGAATCACTTAAAAATACGTAATATAGTAACGTTAAGAAAACGGGAAAATAAAACCGTTGCAATATTACGTATAATTATAATACATTTTTTAATATAAAATCAACCGAAATATCTTCTTTTTCATATGAGAAACTAAGTTACATTCAACGTTTGATTCTAATATTATCTTAATAGTAACATAAAACGTTATGTTATGTTGAGAATGGGGTGTTAATACACTGCGACCTGGAAGGTCTATTGTGCCCCCTTCTGTCGCCAATGCACTAAGGAAATGTCTCAATGCCTATAACGACCCTTCCAGTCCTATTTTCTCAAGGAAATGTAGGATTTTAAGTGGCTTCAAGTTAGGTAAATCTCTCTCTTCTATTTGATATCCTCCTAGATATAGTGCCCTTGGATACTGGAGTGCTACACATTCAGTTAGGAAGTGAATGGAGGTTTCATCCTCCTCCTCACAGAATCTGCACTCAACTATCCTCAACTATTCTCAATTTACTTAGGTGTCCTTCTAGTCGGCAATGCTCAGTAAGGATCCCTGTTATAATACGTAGCCTATTCTTGCTCAGGCAGACGCAGGCTTCCGATCTTTTCTGGTTATATTCACCCAGAAGTATCTTGGCCTGTCTCAGCCCCAGGAGATTGATCCAATTATCGGTTCTTCTACCGCCCAATTCTTTTTTAATCTCTCCTAATATTAAGTTACTGCAGATACCGCAAAACGGCTCAGGTCCTACAAAGGGTGTTTGAGCCCCTTTCCTTGCAAGACTATCTGTACTCCGTTACGTCCCGGGACCCAAGTGAGAGTAACTCTATTTTTCTCGCCTAGCTTATTCAATTGTTCTAGGCATCTCCAGACCATTTTTGAGCTGATTACGTAAGAGCTCAGCGCTTTGATGGCTTCTTGACTATCGGACATGATGATAATCTCTTGTCTATGATAGTTTCTCTCGATGTTAAACTTGATACACTTCTCGATGGCGTGAATTTCTGCCTGGAAGATGCTTGGGTATTTTCCCAAGTTTTCGGAGTGCTTGGTTCTCGGCCCATACACTCCTATTCCAGTTCCATCTATGGTTTTGGAACCGTCCGTATAGCACTGAATAGCACGTCTTTCGGTTGCAAGCGCGATGGATTCTTGGC